ATATATATATATATATATATATTTTTTTCCCAATCCTCCTGCCTCAGCCTCCCAGAATTTTGGGATTACTGGCATGCTTATCAATCCCAGCTAAACCACCTCATACATTTTTATTTTTATGATTGCATTTCTTATACATTAAGTATGTGAAAGAAATTGATCACAATGTTTTCACACGTAGGCTATGACTAGCAGTTTCTAACAAAAAGAAAACTGTGTGTGTGTTTGTGTGTTATGCAAAGGAAAGCACAAAAGGCAGAAGGGATTAAAGGAAGCAAAGTCACTGCCCCACTGTCTGTCCTCTTCCTCGGTCTTCCTCTTTCCTGCCAAGACTTCCACCTAATCCGCTTGAATCTAGAAGTTGTTTCCATGGATACAGGACGCATTGCTTAGAAGGGGAGGGAGCAGAAGGGAAGACGGAGCTGACTTACTGGGCAGATGGGGCCTTGGGAAGCAGAATCAGAGCCAGGAGCTGCATCTGGGTGGAGGCCAGGCTGATGCGGGGAGTGCAACTGGGTTGGGGTGCGGGTGCCAGGCAATGTGCATGCACAGCCGATCCAGGGTTCCCCCAGCAAAGCCTTCCCTCTCCTGCCCTTACCAGTAGCAGGCTTCCTTTTGACCCCTTCTGCCTCCCATTACAGCTCCCTGGGCATCAGTGTTTGGCCTGGGTTCCCTGTGGAGCCTGGAGAAGCCGAGGCAGGAGGGTGCAGGCCGGTGCGGGGAGAGTCAGTCCCTGTGTGGCTTACGGTGTGGTCTGAGGGGTCTGACCTGTGGCCCTAGCGGGGATCCCCAGCACTCACACTGTACTTCAGAAATTCATTGGTGTTTTTCCTTAGAAACCTCCCTTCCAACCTCAAGTTGGTAAAGGGCAAACTTTAGTAAAGCTTAAAAAGTGAAGAATAAACTTCCTTTCACATTCTCTTTAGAACCAACAGGGCAGGTAAAAATGCATGGCATGGATCTGAGCACAGGGCCAAGTTCAGTTGACCTCTTTATTGGTGGCTTCGGGATCAGAGGTCCCTGTTTGTGGGCTTTATTAGTTAGTTTTTGGGAGCTGTCATAACAAATACCAAAGACAGAGATGGTAAAGGACAGAAGAGTGTTTTCATGGCTGTGGAGGCTGGAAGTTGATTGACATGGTTCTGCTCCTTGACCTGCAGGTGAGGAGCTGCCCTCCTGGGCTGCCACAGGCATCACCTGCTCCCATCTCCTCTCCTTACCAGGGCACCATCATTTGGACAGGGGTCCCCTCACAGCCCCCTGTTAAGGTGACCTCCCATTTCCCAGCAACTCCATTTTGAGTGACCAAAACTCAGGGCTTCAGCACGGGGGTGAGGGGACATAATTCAACCCATAGTGTGGGCCATTTATGGACATATCAGATTTAAAAGAGAAGAAGTTTTCCTGGGGCCTGCACTTGTGGTGTGAAGCAGAGGGATCCAGCCAGGCATCTCATGATGGAGTGAAAATTAATCATGGAAGTGGGGCTGAAAGCCACGGAGGTCTCCCTACAGTGCCTAGGGGCTGCGTCAGATAAAAGTGTAAGGGAAGTACATCCGACCCAATAAAGCCACATCACCGAAGTAGCTTCAGGTTAAACCTTCACTCTCTGGATTCCTGGTTAGTTTTTGGGCTCCTGTTGTGGTTTACCTGCATTTTTCTTTTAGAAAAGCTTGCTGAAGAAGCCTAGTCAGGGGGCCTTGGAATCTACAGTATTTAGTTTTGTTTGTTTTTTGGTTTCAGTCTCAGTGGTGCAAACCTTTAAAATGAAATCGTGCCTGTGAAATGAGCTGCTTTCAAGCTCTGCGTGAGGTAAGTTCAGACTCAACCTCTGACTTGCCTTCATGTTGGCCCTGAAATCTCTGATAGGAGTGAGGCCCGGTTGGTTCCCAGCCTAGCGAGATCAGGAATTCACTGCACCCCAACTGGACAGTTCTCTGCTTCACTGTATTTGTAGAGAAAACTCTTGTAAATAGCAACACCTACAAAATGTCACAATGCAGTGTGGCTTCTGGTGTCTCTAATAGCAGTTTGCTCTGTTGAGTTCAGAATTAACAGACACCAGAGGCATTAGCCACTGAATGAGGCATCTGGTCTCATCCTGAGACAACAGGGCACATTAAGACCCTGAGCCCCAAAGTTCTGTAAACCACGATTGTAAAAGTGTCAAGATGAAAATAACCTTTGTTAACATCTGCTTTCCCGACCCTGAACATCCCCGTCCTATGAGCTAGGATAGATAGCTAGGCAAATCTTAAAGGTTCCCCTAACTCTCCCCTAACTACAAAGAATTGCTACATCTGGGTTGAAAGTTAACTGTCTTGTGACCATGGTTTGTATATTGGTAATATGAACTGAGAAAATGAAATGTCAACACCTGAATGAGATCAAGGCTGTAAAACCCTATAAAAGAGGGAGCTGCAAGGCAGTAGGGGTCAATCTCTGGCATTGCTGTTAGTGTGATCAGCCTTTTGTTGACAAAATAAACTTTTTGTTATTTTACTTCCATTCTGTCTCTCCACATGTCATGTATCAATTTCCTCCCACAACAGTATTCCACCCCTGCAAATAAAACTTACTACTGACCTAGTAATTAAGAACATATCCAATTTCCTTTTAAAATGATCTTACTGATGTAGATTTGGTAAGACTGATGTTTTGTAATTTATTCCACTTCCTCTTCCGTCCTGCAGGAGATCATCACTACTACAGGTCAAGGGGAATGCTCAGCCTGAATTTTTATGTTCAGAGACCTCTCTAGATCTCACCCTGATCCGCAGACCCCATTCAGGTGGGGAAGGCTTTGCCTAGGCAGAGGTGTGGCAGTGGCTGCCTCGATGCTGCCTTTGATGGGCCTCCCTCCAGCTTGGGAGAGACGTCTGGCAGGATCTAGTCAGCACAAAGCAACGGAATCAAGGAGAAAGTGCAGAAGCAGCTCAAGGGAGAGAGACCGTCACCCAGGCAAGGAATGGGGGAGGCTGAGGGAAGCTTCTTACAGGCAGGACCTTTGCACCAGGGCATGGGGAAATCTGCTTTGGGCCAGAAGATGGGCAGAAAGAGCATTCTGAGTGGAAGGAAAATGATGGAGCAGGACCTACCAGGCCATGTCCTGGTCACAGGGATGGAACCAAATGTGGGAACACAGAGGGACACACACAGCTGGAGAGGGTTGTTGAGCTGACCCCAGGCTGTCTTTTCTTGAATTGTCTCATGCTTGGAAGAGTTTGGGGATCTTTGGTCTCATATTCAGAGGAGTTTGGAGGTCCTTCTGCGGATACTGAGGCACACACCAAGGCTCCCACTTTACAACTGGATCTGATCAGCATCCTGTTTCAGGCAGCTCTGATGGCCCTGTGAAGGAGCAGTGTTTGAGGGGTGAGGAGGAAAGCTGGGGCCAGGCAAATTAGGGGGTTCAGGGACCAGGGGAGGTGTGAAGGGCGACAGTGGCACGAGGAGCCAGGAAGTCCTCATGTCCACCATGTATGGACTGTGTGAGATGCATTCTCTCCCTGAGCGAGAACCTGCACTCCAGGTGACAGCCCCACCTCAGCTTTGAACACACATGCAAGCTCATCGGCTGTACTCACAGTAATGCTTGCTGGGGCACACCCTTCTGTAAAAGTTCTCATTGATTCAAGGCTTTCTTTTGGGCTTTGTTGGATGAGGAGGGTTTAATTTTAGCTCACTGAATAAGAATTTGATGGAGCCCTGCCGAGGATTTAGCTCAGTGGTGTTGCCCTCTGCCTCATGAGCACAAGGTCCTGAGTTCGATCCCCAGTACAAAAAAAAAAAAAAAA